TCGCTCAGGAACTTACTATTATAACCGATTATATTCATATTGTTATGCACGTTTAGATTTTAATATCCCCACTACTGGTCACGTTACCCTTTTAGTTCCAATTTTTCTACCTCAGAGTCATTTTTTTTGAATTCATGGACATAGGGATGATTCGAACCAAAAATCTTTGACATTACCGACACGATCTTGGACATATGGCTACATAGTTCAATGTCCACGTTTTGTGGACATAAGTGGCGTTTCAAAATAAAGTAACAGCTAAATCCCGGGCATGGCCGCTCTCAGGCTTCTCTCTGGTATTACCAGAGAGAAGCCTGTAATACTTCCACCATGCTCAACAGGCTCAACTCCTCATTCAGGTTTCTCTCTTTCTCTCTGCTTGAACGGTCTCGCACACTAGCGACACCAATTTTATAAAATGATGTGAACTACGTATTATATTATTAACTCTGCTGATAAAGTCGTAATAACGAAAAATAGATGTGCTGAGTCTCATCTAAAAAAAAATTGATTTACTTTAATTTATTGCACCAGTCTAATAAAATACGATTCAATTATTATTATTATTTATATTTAATTCCATTTATAAATATTCTATATATTGTTATTAACAGAATATTCCATATACTCGTAAATTATTTTTATAACATATTAATTTTCTACAAAAACCAACATTTTACATTTGCTTTCTTCTCTTCTAAGAGTTTTATACAGAAATTATATTAAACATTAATGAAACAACGCTAAATCTATCTAAATATGTTAAGTTATTGTCTATGGCTAAACAAATGTAATTTCATTTTTATAAAAGACTTACTCCTATTTGTATATATACATATATCACATTAATTTGTACCTAGTTCAACAAATATAACATTCTTAACTATGATAAATTATAATAAAACCTAAGACTTTTTTTTAGATCTTTTCATATTGATATTTACAAAAATCATAAATAATCTAAATATACAAAGAGCCATCAGCGGGGCCTAAATATCTCATAGAGATTAATATTACATCGATTAAAGTCCATACACCTAATCCACCAAAACTAAAAAGCTTGCCAATGCCTTCTTGCCAGTGTCCCAAGTAAAACCTACAATATAAAATCTTATTTGAATATAAAAATCTTATTTGAAATTCATACTTAATCGATTATTTACATTTGAAATAGTATGATTGAAAAGTCTCATAGAGTACCTATCTGCACCAAATCCTCCAAGAGTAATGCTTAAGATCAAAGCCGTAGACCAACGATATCCAACTGTCCAGTTACAAGGCAAGTTCTTCATGAATTTCCGTCTGCCCAGACACAGTATGTCATTGTTTACTGTACAATTTGTTCTGTAACAAAAATATTAAAATGTTAGTGTTATTATGGTATTACACATACATATAAATATCTTCTTGTGTTGATAATGCGATAATTTTCACTCTTTGTCCATATCTTGAATCTTTAAACAGTGCTGATTTTATATTGTTCATAACATAAAAATCTGAAAAAATTCTTGTATAATTGTAAAAGTTTTAAAAATGTTTATTATCATAGAGAGTTATATATTTTACTTATTACAGATTTAACTTTATCTATCAGAATTCTTATATATATAATAGTATTACAGACCTATAATACTGTTGAGGAGACGCTACTGAGCTACAGGAATTTTTTTGATGGCATTGATGCTCCCAGTGATCAGTTTGATAACAATAACGACACATGTATTTCTTCATAAAAGTCTGTTTGCCCTGTTAATAAACAAAACATCTGATTTAATCTCGAAATTCGATTTAATATATTACAAAATTTTTAATTTTAAGCTGAAAAGGAATACACAATTCCCTCTTCACAAGTTTTACGTACTATACAATCGACATGTTCCATCACGGAGCAATTTGCTTCATACATTGCTCCATATTTGCAGCTGTAATTTAAGTTGCACTTCAAGCATTCTCCACTCAATTCTATGCAAGATATCCCACTTGGACACAGACCAGCCATTTCCTCCTACAATTTAACAATCCAATTTGTATTCTTATGTATTATTATATGGAGTTATTACTTAGATTTAATTTGTAATAAAAACACATATTTTTTGTGATGTTAAAAGGACATAAAGTTCTTGAAACTCACTAAAGTGTTATGTTATTAATTTAATTTTCATTAAGACTTGCCGTATTTGAACATAAATACAATACAATAATTAATTTACATAAATAAAATAAAACTGTAAAAAATAAGATTATGAAACATAAAATTATTCTAAAATTATATTTTATATAGAAATAAAAATTATGTTTTATATTTTAAAAAATCCTAGGATGACTAGGATCTACACTAATTATGGATTAAAAAATCTTACCTTTTTGCTATTGTAGGCTGGCGTTGAGTTTACATTAGCTTCTTTCAGAGCATAACTGGTTGCAGTACCTACAATTAAATTAAGTTATGAATATATGTAAAAAAGGAATCAAATATTTTAACGCTTTAACATTGATACAGGTATATCAATAACTCTATTTCTAATACTGATTTTCAGGTCTCATTTTTCATTTGTTGATTAACTTGTTGATTAGACTTAACCTAATAATAATGTAAAAATTGTATTTTTCTGTCTATAGTTAATCGCTAAACTGGTTTTGTAATGAATAACTTTAAAATTACTAATACAAAACTATATTAACAATAACTATTAAAAAAATCCTATTTTTACATTATTATTATTAAGTTAAGTGAGGTTAAGTCTAAACCACAAATTAACCAGATAATGAAAAACCAGGCCTCGCCAACAATTTCACGTGGAAATTTTTCTTTGACTTTTCAGTTCCTACATAGTAGTTAGAAAGCAAATTCATTCACCGTAATCCATGCGAGTCTCCTGGACGGAGGTTGACAGGAGTGCCATAAAAAGGAATATCACGTTCTTCGAATTAATCCGAACGACATTCATTCTGCGCGAGAATTCCTCTCACCAGTCGTCGGATGCTGGATTTGCTGAGTGATTCAACGTTTCAAATTGCGACTTTATCCAGGCACGTGAAACAAAAGTAGCGTCCCGTGTCGAATATTATACACATCGACACATCAATATACACTTGGCGCCATTAGTACACTATACACTTTCTGACACACGTTCGACAGTTGCGACAGCTGTAAACATTTAGTTCAGATGTGTCACGATATCACGGTTCGTCAGAAACGAATATTCGCTCTTAATGATCAAATGCAATCTTTTTTAGCAATTTTTTTCATTAGTATATATATATA